TGTGTGACCCCCCTCTGCCGCCCGCTATCCTTGGCTCCGTTGTCCCTGTGCGGACCCGGGACCCCCAAAGAAGCTGCTTCATCAGCTTATTCTCTGGCTCTCAGCCAGAGAAATGACAGCTAAAGGCGGAATATACATTGCTTCCACCTTTAGAGAGAGAAGGAGGAGAGATCAGTGGTGGGGGAAATGCTGATCTCTCCTCCTTCTCAGTACGGGCAGTTGCTGTGCCGGTCCCTGGCTCTCAGGAGGGACAGCGGATAACCAGCAGCGATGGGGGAGGGGGGGGGTCACGGTAATACAAGCTGTAGAGCCGGCCAAACGCTTGTATATAACAGCCGGTAACAGCTGGTTAGATTCCCGGCGGGGGCCTGTTTGTTTGTTTACCAGAAAGTAAATCACGTAAATGTACGTCGACCCGCCGGGAAGCATACTCCGTCCGCCCGTAATTTTACAACGGGCAGACGGCAAGGGGTTAAGTCAAAAATTCTGATTTTATCATGTGTGTGCAAATATCAAGAAACTAAGTAGTTAAACAACTTTGCCAATATGCCCTTAATATCAGCATAACTCCTCACATTTAAATTACCACAATATTGAAGAATTTTGTATTCTGGTATCTATATAGAGGTAAGACCTGTAATGATAGTAGGCATTAAAATCTATGGGAGCAAAATCTTGCAAATTCTCTGGCCTTTTTCAAAGCTTTTGGTAAAGCAGGTAAGGGTAACTGGGGGACAATACAAAAGAAAATGTATTCAAAGAAAAAGGGTGAAGAGTTTGGAGAAGGCAGGAGAACTGAACAATCTAGACCAAAATAGCTAATTTGGAAAAATCCTCCAATTCAGCTCATTTTCCAGCTCAGCTATTTTGGCCTAGATTGTTCACTTCTCCTGACTTCTCCAAACTCTTTAGCCTTCTGTTATTAACCCTTTTAAAGTACAACATTAAAAATAAACAATTCCTTTAATAACATGCTTAGGGGAAGCCTTAAAGAGTAACTCCACTTTCAAATGAAAAAAATGAAAAAATCTTTTAAAAATGAATACAGCATACAGGCAGTCCCCGGGTTAAGAACAAGAGGACTGTAGGTTTGCTCTTAAGTTGAATTTGTATGTAAGTTGGAACAGGTAAATTTTTTAAGTGTAACTCCAGCCAAAACTTTTTTTTTTTGGATAGCATAGGGAAGGGTTAACCCCCTGTAAAGTTTGTGTTGCTGTGTGTGCCCCATGCTCAGAAGATTACACTTCACTTTCTGTCCCTGTGACAATTGGATTTTGAAAATTGGAAACAAGGATTGGTGATAAAGCTTCAGTGGAGACACCTTTTTCCCATGAAAAATTAAAACACAGCACTAATAAAAGTAAGCACAGCCTGGGCTTAGTTGCTGGACGGCTTTCAGCGGTTCCCTGTCATTCTGTTTGCTCCAGCTAAATTTTAGACAGAGAGGGGGAAATGATACTGCCCCGTGTGAGGATTTAATCTTTCAGTTTTAAGGTTTTTCCTTTTCTCATAGCAGCTTTTGGGGTGTTAGTTTTTCGCTGGTTCCAAGAGCGCAGATTTTTTCTTTATACCTTTTTTTTGATAACTCTTACTTATCCATTCCTAGGGGTAGATTTCCTCTTACTTCCTTTTGCCTCAAGGACAGGAAGTGAGATTAAATCTTTTTAATGAGGATACAGACCGCAGTAAAAAGCTCACAGTGACCCGGAAGAAGAAGCGGGCACTCCTCGTCTAACAAGAGCCAACTTCCTGTAATGTACGTACAGTACTATGAACCAGACCCAAAATGCGGGCACGGCTAACATGCGGCGCGGTACACTTTGGGGGCAGCCTGGGACCACCTGCTGTACAGTAACAGCCTCCGTTTGTAAGTAGGGGGTCGTATGTAAGTCGGATGTTTGTAACTCAGGGACTGCCTGTATATGATTGTTCCACTAGCCATTTTGTAATTCAATGTTATTAAAAATTACCTTTCCATTTTAAACTGCATTTGCAATATTCTAAATCTGCCACAAAAAATCAATGCAATAGGGCGACCTGGGGGTGTTCCGCATACACTTGGTGTACAGAATACCCCCAGAAATGTCACTTCCTGATTCTCTGATTGGCTGACTGATTTTCCGAGAAGTCTACACTAAGAAACAAGTATAATTTTTGCCATGCCTTCCACTAGGAATTTCACTTTTGGTGAGATACACCCTAAGGATTAATTTCTACTGATGCAATTTTCCCTATTATAACCCAGGAAGCCCACCAGATGATTATAATGAACCCAGACCCTCCCATTCAGAGATCATGTTGGGAAGGACATGCTGCAGCATGAAGCTTTTTCTTCAGGACAGAAATAGGTAGGAAACTGCAACTAAGTTGGTTAAAATCCCTACAATGCACACCGATCACCCACAGGGGATTGTTTTCTCCCCAACAAAAGTGGAATTGCTCTTGAAACCCACATGTGACGCACCTATAGGATGTTCTCCAGCAAAAGTGACATTAAAAAAAGCCATAGTCAATAAATGACAGTTCTGATACCCAGCCTTCTTCTGTTTGTAATCAAAGCGGCCAGGAAATCCCTGGTGACATCACTGGCTACGTATATCATGACAATGCGTGGTCAGTGACATCAGCCAAGTTCCCCGATGCTGCTGTTTACATTCCGGCAGCATGGTGGAAATTTTGTTTGTGGTAAAAGTCTGATGGGAGATGATCGATGATGTATCTAGTCTAGTATGTACGTATACTATACGTACATACTACACGTACAATATATGTACGTGTAAGTGATGACGTGTCTATGTTGAATATCTAGGGCTTGTCTAATTTTAAAGGTAGCTTCCAGATTCTGTGAAGCCCCCAAATCCATTGGGCTAGGAATGTGAAGAGGAGGCCTTTGTTCTTATCAATATGGGGGGCACAGGGAGGTATCCCAATGCATTCTGAGGGAATGTGGCCTGGTATGGTTCAGGAAGTGGGGGGGGGGGGCACCCGGCCTGGCTGCCCAGGAAAGGGAAGAAAAGTGAGGGTGCTCCCCTTCCCAAACCATACCAGGCCACATGCCCTCAACATGGGGAGGGTAGCTTGCGTGGGGAGCCAGTTTTATGCCTCTCTCCCCATTGTGGCTGTAATGCAATGTCACGTCTAGAGATCTATTCATCTATGTGAGATAGGAAAGGATTAGAAGCTCTGTCAGGTTTTACTGCCCTCAGAAACTCCATTAGGAAAATTTCTTCACTTCCTATATGCTAAAACAGTTGTCCCCAGGACAGGAAATGTAAAGGTGCAATCTCAAACAGCAACACAGGCACAAGTAAATTTTTTTTTTAAAGTTAAGTAGGAGAATGTTTCAACCTCCATCAGCTTTTTATTGTTGTCAGTTTCCCTGGTGCAGGTTTCCCCTCACTTATTGTCTGGTAAAACATTGTCCCCAAACATGAAGTGAGGGAAAATCTCTGTCATAGAGCCTTGTATAGCAGTAGACCCTGATGGGGGTTCTAACCTTTCCCCATTCTATCCACAACTACAAAACACAAGTTTTGGATACATATACACTTTAATATCCTCCTGTTGCTTCCTTATATGCCTGGGTAACTGTTTTTTTCCTGACTTCCCAGGTAGAAAATGATTGTTACAGAAAACAGGTTCCATAAATGTAACTGAGGAACTGTCACTGGAAAAAAAAAAAAATCATATACCAGTTTGTAAAATTGATTGACTTAAACCATAAAATTCATACTATATAAAAATAAACATAGGAACTAAAAACTGCACATATGGATATTACTGTCTGTTCTGTGATTATGTAGAAGCCAGTGAGAGGAACCACAGCGCTCACCAGAGGACCAGTTATCTGAAACACCCAGAAGTGTCAGATACCAGCCTCCCCCTAGCTCTTCTTTTCTTTTACAAGGTGATTGTGTTTCAATTCTTTACTTTAGCAAAAAGGCTGCTTTAAAAATCACATCAGGACAAATGGCTCCCAGATTTTTGTCTGGGACACTAAGCAATAAGGTAAATGCTGTATGGGAAGCCATTAACGCAGAGTAGTTGTGTGTGCCGTTTGATCTACTGATTTCTTTTTATCTACCCGCAGATATTCTACAACATCCAGTTTAAAGGCTAATTCCACCTTTCTGATCATGTTTTTATGTTACAGCCATACTTAGGGTGTAACATGGATTCATTCCCCAGTCCTCTACCATCAAACCCCCCCCGGACATACCTGAATCATGGGGTTCTTCTCCCTGCAGAATCTTTTTTTTTTTTGACCCATTCACACAGATATGTGAATTGACGACTACAAGTCCCATCTGCCACCACAGTAGAGGGACTCACAGACTTTAGCCCCCATTTACACCTAGGTGTACCGGAAATGCGAGCTGCAGTCACACCTGTGCATGCGCATTTGCATGTGTTTGTTCCCATGTCTACCATTAATATCAATAACAAACAAGTGGTTGCACGATTTTGATGAGTTCCGTTAACGCGTGTCAAAGCACGTACATGACTCCATCTGTACGGACATGGGGCTAGAGGAATAGCCTGCAGGAGCCTGTGCATTACACCAATGAGCCAGTGATTGTAGTTGCAATGGCTTCATTGCAAAAAATGAATACATGCACATTTTCTAAAGTATGTATGTGGGTGGGTTTATTCATAGCTGCAACAGGTGGAATTAGCCTTTATCAAGATACAAACCATGAGCGCATGAATTTCTGGGAGCTGTACCTCTACTGACCACTAGGTGACGCACATGATCTACGAGAACATACAGTAAAGGCCCCCGTCCCAAAAGGTTGCTGCTGATTTAAAGCGCTGTATAAAACAGGTAAAATGCACATTAAGTCATTGCGTTCTTCGATTTTCGTGCCCATTTAGCCTGAATACCTTACGTTTCTATCCTCTCCTGCGGAGAAAGTTAAAGTGGGAAAGCACCATAACAAAATATGGCCGGCTGAGTCATTTACGTCACTAAAAGGAAGCCAATCACAGCAGGCGGTTGTGATATCCGGTCAATGGCAGCGGAAGTTGGCGGTAGTATTGGAGCGCAGATCAGGGTTTGACAGGTAATGACTGTAATTGGTTTTGTCAGTTCGTTGTCATGTGGAAAGTGGTGTGATCGCTCAGATCATTGTGAGAGAGGATGAGGATGACAAGGATCTATCTAAATGTGACATGCTAAGAGCTCAGCTAGGTGTAAGGTAGATGCACCGTGTACAGCGAGGCTCTATGTTGTTCCTTGCTACTGGTGATCGATACATCAGATGACCAGCTCCCACGCTGCATGTTTGTTAGGCAGGGATCAACACCAATCAGTCATAACCTTATGACCACTGAGAGGGAAAGATAAATAATATCAAATAAATCTTTTTAAGCCGTTACAGCAACAGCTCCTGTTTTCTTTTAGGAAGAAAGGGCTTAAACAACATTAATAACATCTGACTGTTAAAAGCACCCCTGTTGTTGTTAACCAATTTGTCTCACCCCTGTAACTGCCCCTTTTGCTGGGCAGATTGGCTTGTTTAGGAACTAAAGTCCGCTGTGGGTCCCACAGGCTTTTGCCATAATCTGCAAGTTTGTGCAACATATTTGCACATTATGGCAGACTTGCTTGCCAATGTTTCCCCTTCCAGAGATGTGATAACCATGGTCTTCCTCATTCAGTGTTCTTACTGTTATCTAACACATGCCAGGAGTGAGGGGGGGGTTCTGCACTTCACTACACATGCACCGCAGGCAAGAAAAATACCCGCTTTCTGTAGCTACAATGTTATTTTCTATCATTTCATTTTCAGTTTGTCCTTTGCAGTCATGACATGCACCATAGAAAAGATCTTACAGGATGCCAAAACTCTGTTGGAACGACTGAAAGATCATGACAATGCTGCCGAGTCCTTAATTGAACAGTCTAGCTCTTTACATAAGCAGGTAGAAGCCATGAAAGAGGTTGGGACAACTCTACCAGAAAAGGTAGGTGATTCTTCTTTTATAGCCTTCATTTTTTCCAGATGTGCACATTACACAGATCATCTAGCTGTAAACAATTTTTTCAGTATCTGTTGATGTTGTTTTTTTTAATGTATTTTTAGATATAAAAATGGCAATTGTATGTGCTCAGGTGGCCAGCAATATTTTCTTAGCTATACACACAGGCCAAGCTTCTTACTTTGTAGTACTACACAGTGGTTCTGCTTCTCACAATGCAAATCTATAAAGACAGTGTGCACCCTGGGTGACGGTAATCTACAAGAAGGAGAATAGTGTGATCACATTTTAATTGACTGTTCCTTCTAGAGCAGACCTGGGTATTACATCTAGCCCTTTGGCTTTCCCTCTACGGCCCCTGGTCTAGACACAGACGAATCACCAACCTGCGGTTTTTTATGTCAGGCTGACAGTGGATGCGCCGGGCCTCTAAGGCTGGTACATTCACTGCAAGCCATAGTCCAGTACAGGCCCCCCCGGGTCATTGGTTGCTAGGAACACCAGGCAGTCCTAGCAACCAGTGTTAAAGGAGAACTATGGGGTCAGTGTTTTTCCCCATAGTTCTCCTTAGGGTAACGGGAGGACACAAACTAGCATCCTCCCGTTACCCTAAGCTCAATATACCGCGGTATATATACAGCTTGCGGTATACTGAGACGCCGGAACGGATCCCGACATCGATGTCGAGATCCGCCCAGCTGCGTGAGTGACAGCTGGCTCTGCCTATCTAGAGGCAGAGCCAGCTGTACCCGCCCCCTCCCCAGTCCGTTCCGCCAGTCAGCGCTGGTGGAGCGGAGCGGGGAGGGGGGAATCCAGCCCCTCCCCTGGCACGGCAGAGAGCCGTGACAGGATCGAGAGGTGAGTGAAGGCCGGTATCCGTTCGCTCATCTCCCGATCTACTGAGCCGACCTGTGACAGTCTCATTGTCACAGGTCGGCTAGAACTATGAGTGGAAATCACTCATCTCATAGTTCTCCTTTAAATGTGTTCCCTGCTCCCAGCATTACATAAGGGCGGAAGAGTATATTTTTCCATCCTCTCCTGAAGCCTGCTCCACCTGCTAGGGTTTCCTTTCGGATATTGTAGGACAGGTTTAGAACATCTGACAAGTTTGTCTTGCTGTCTGTGCATGCTGGGGAGACTTGCACGCTCTGTTTGTGCACACAGAGCAGGATCAGTCCTTTTTAAAACTGCAACCTCTGTTTCTTGTTTAGTTGTTTGTTTACCCAAAATGTGCACAAAGTATCTATATATTACATGATTTTTAAAAGAGTTTGCACACTTGGCTTAGGCTTGCATCAACACACAGGTGTGTCATGGCCATAAAAGAGGAAACAAGGGAAATGTTGATAGACTACGGAGAAAGTTGAAATGAACCCTTATCATGCTATGCAGCTTGCAGCAGCTTTTTTCAGAGTAGACTGCTATTATCTTCAACCCTGATGATCAGGACTCTTTCTTCCCTCTATTGCATAACCATGCTGCCACCTCTGGCAATACCATTGTCGTGAAGGGGCACACAAAATGTTCTGGCAAGATTGATGTAAATAACAATTAATCAAACTGACCCCCATTATGTTCAGTCTTCATATATTTCAAAAAATATTGTTGTGTAATTTATTACACTTTGGTTTCTGAAAGGTTATTAAATGTTATAGTCCTCATTTCTTCTTTTTTTCTCCAGTATCAAGAAGATTTGGTAGAGTTAAAGGATCCTTCAAAGTACAAACCACATGTGCTTTTATGTCAAGAAAATACTCAAATAAGAGACCTTCAACAGGAAAATAAAGGTAATGTGAAGGTTTCACAAAAATGCCCTTAAATTTGCTAGAGATACTAAAACCGCATACATAAATATGTAAATCATAAAGAATTATATATATTTTCCATTCCACTTCACTCACAGTTTGTGTTACAATTAAAGTGATACATTGGTACACATTTATATTTTATATTTTTCTTTATGATTTCTTTTACTGTATTCTATTTTAATATATCTAGCAAGCTAAGGGCATTATGGTGGGATATTGAGTTAACAAGTGAGTTATAGCTAAACTGAATAAGAGTGTATTCATTTAATTATTGTATAAATGTTTACAATATTACCTGCACTAGACAATGCCCGCTGTGTATGAACTAATGTAAAGGTGTCCTAGCACAAACTTCCCTGGTTTTCTTTATCTGTCAATCCGTAATCTCAACAATCACCTTTGGTTCTGCATGCTTTAAGTCTGAGATTACTGCACAACTTCTGCAATGGTGCACTCTGTTTAGACCGATAGACTTTGGAATACAATTTTCACTGGGTTTTTTTTGTGCCTATATTTATTATGTCAATTAAAATAATTTTGTCGTATAGAGGATTTAGGTACACCCCATTCTTCATCTAAAACCCTCTACAACCTACTTATCACACGACAATGTACCTATAGATATCATGTTAAGTGTGGGGGTTCCTAGAGACTTAAACTTTGAAGGGTTCCTCTGTGGTAAATAGACGGTCAGGTCTCCAGTATGTCCCAGTGCCTAAAATAACTTTTTATTCTTTATTAATTTTCGAATGTTCACTTATGAACATATGAAAGTTAGCTTTTCAGGAAACAACTGTGTATTTGAAAATTTGTATTTGTATACTCAAACTACCACTCCCAGCCACCCACCAAGACAATGTGTTCCTTGGTTCCATGACCACTCGCTTAGAGTCCATTGCTCCTTGGCCTACACAGAATAGAGCATGCAATGGAATGGACACAACAAAGAATTAGGGATGCACCGATATATCGGCTGTCGAAACATATCGGCCGAAAATTGCACTTTTGGCATAATGCCGAAAGTGCCATTTTCCTGCCGATACATCGGCGCATCCCTGCTTTCTTTCCTCCCCGCTGGGTGCTGCTCTGTGTCCCAGCGGGAGGAGAAAAAGTGTGATAGCCGGCCGAGCGCTGCGGGAGGACAGTGAGCGGCAGGCGTCTCCTATCACAGTGCGGCAAAACTGTGTGTGGGCGGAGACAGCCCGCGCTGTCACAGGAGGCTGAGCTCTCGCTCCGCTCTCTCAGCCTCCTGTGACAGTGTGTGTCAGGTAAAACATTTTCTGTATCGGTTTCAGCCTGACAATTTTTTTTTGTTTCGGTTTTAAAATTTTCATTTCGGTGCACCTCCCACAAAGAATCCTTACACTGCATTCTTAACTGGAAGCAGAGAAAATTTACAAGGGATTTCATTAAACTCAAATAAATGTAAATTGGGTGATCTACCTAATTAAAGTAGCATTAAACTTTTTTTTTTTCCCAAAAATGAATCGAGACCAAACAAATATACGTTGTCCGGAAAAGTATTTCTTAAAATTTTTCTTCCTACTTAGGGTCCACTCACGCCAGATGCGCTGGGGCTGTGCTGGCTGTTTCCAGTGCAACCCCAACGTTGCCAAGAAGAGGCAATTTTCCTCGTCACGGACAGGATCAATTCACATCATCACGTTGTGATAGGAACTTGGTGGTGTGCACTGAAAAAAAACACGCTGTACTTTTTTCAGCGCAACGGGATGCGACGCAGTACAACCGCCTCTCACCCCACTGTGCCTGTAGAACTGAATGAAATGTCACTTGGGGCATTTCAATAAAGGTTCTACGACAAAAAAAAAGATTGGCACATCTGCACTGTGCTGGGGCACCGCCCGGATGTGAGTGGGCCCTTCCAGTCATCAAGTTTCTGAACAGCTGGCTCCAACTCTCGGAGATCAGTTCTTTGAACTTTCCGTCCAGTACAAGATCTACGCAGTCTCCAGCAGCCGTCCATCTATGAGCTTGGAGAAGGGAAAAGAGAGGAAAGAGGATCTGGCAACAGGGAGCAGTGGAGTGACTTGCCTTGCTCTGTGAAGACACACACAGCTTACTAGCACATACAAGGGTGGCTCTATAGGACCCTGCAAGCGTAAGGAGCCACCCTAAAACAGGAAATCAGGGCCAGTGCTTAGGAGACTATCCACTGTAAGCATCTGAAATAGCTTAAAAGCCTTTTGACTTAAAGATCCCTTTAACTTAGTGGCAGTACTTTCTGGATTGTTAGTAAGTCTCTGATTGTACTTGTTACCTTTTGGCTACGGTCTAATTTTTTTTCTACATTCTATTCATTGCAGAGTTATGGCTCTCTTTGGAGGAGCATCAGTATGCCCTGGAGCTGATTATGAGCAAGTACAGGAGACAGATGCTGCAGCTCATAGCAAACAAAAAGCCTGCGCCCACAGAGCCTGTTCTAGAAGCTCATGAAACCTACTCTTCTGTAAGCTCTTTGTACAAAGCAATGTATGACAATGTACTCGTATTGTTTATCTTGTGTACTGGAGCATCCATGTAAACTGGCAAATATTATGTGTTCCCTCTGTCTGTGTTCTTGGACTCTACTAATCACTTTATAGTATGTGTGTTATCTGTAACCGATTATACTTTAGTGTATGTGCACTTATTCCCCGAATTCATGAACTGACACACCTCTGCCACTTCATATGCAATATATTTCAAGAATATTAAGCAGATCCTTACCTGCTTTGGTTCTGTAGATATAGAGCTAAGCCATTCTGCTTGCTCAGGTCTTCCAGAAAAATCACCAAGCTGGTGATTCTTGCATCCCTTATGGTGGTTAACACTAGGCCAGGGGTAGGCAAACTCTGGCCCTTCAGCTGTGGTGAAACTACAAATCCCATCATGCCTGTGAGTCTGAGTCTTGCAATGCCTAATGTGATTTGTAGTTGCACCACAGCTTGAGGGCTGGTGTTTACCTACCCCTGCTCTAAGCTATAGATGAAACTATCCATGCAGTAAATATAGTGAAGCCTTAGAACATTGCCTGGACACCACTTTCCATGAATCCGCTTTCCAGTTCTGAAATGAATAGGTGTTTTGTAACAGGATTAGGCTATAAAATGGCTTGTATAGTGGTTATATAGGTTATCACTTATTAGTGAAACATTGAATATTATCATTTAGCCAGTTACTTTTTACATTTCTGTAAATGTTGCTATGTGCCAACCTTTCAGAAGCTTATCTGAATGTAAAATAATTGAGATTCTGTTGTAAATGTGGGAAGAGGCGGTTTTCTAGACACTGCCAATATTACTCTTCTGTGTTTTATTGAAGAATACTGCAGATAATCCAAAGTGAGCCGAGCCTAAAATGACCACACCGGTTAGTCACCAAATGTACAGAATACACAACCAAATGTGGTAATGTTTACTGATATTTGGTGTAATAATTTACTGGGTTCTTTATTATGCACATCTACTTGTTTAGGGCAATAACCAAGTGGCTGCAACCTCATATATAGAGTAGGGATGTCCCGATACCACTTTTTCAAGACGAAGTACAAGTACTAGAGACATAATCCTGCCCCTGTACAAAGCATTAGTAAGACCTCACCTGGAATATGCAGTTCAGATTTGGGCACCAGTTCACAAAAAGAATGTTGTGGACCTGGAGAAAGTGCAGCGAAGGGCAACTAAACTCATAAGAGGCATGGAGGAGCTCAGCTATGAGGAACGATTAGCTGACCTGAAATTGTTCTCTGGAGAAGAGGCGATTAAGGCGGGACATGTTCACCATGTATAGTGTCCATATGTGAGCTTGGTGCCAAAATATTCACTTTAAGGTCACTGCAAAGGACAAGGGGGCACTCTTTGCGTCTGGAGGAAAAGAGGTTTAGCCTTTACATATGGAAAGGATTCTTCACAGTTAGAGCTGTGAAAATGTGGAATAGACTCCCCCTAGTTCTAGCTAGCTCGGTTAATTGTTTAAAAAAAAAATCTGGATGTATTCCTAAATGCACAGAATATTACTGGATATTGAGTTCTTATAGGTATATGAGGCATCGGAGATTGTTGATCCAGGGAATATTCGATTGGGATCGGGAAGGAATTTTTTTCCTCTGTTGGAGCAAATTGAACCATGCTTTATAGGGGTTTTTTGCCTTCTTTGGATCAACAGCGGGTAATTGTGGGCATAGCATTCTGTTTAGGCTCTTCTTCTTCTTCTTCTTCTTCTTCTTCTTCTTCTTCTTTTTTTTTTTTATATCTCTATAGGTTGAACTCAATGGACATGCCTTTTTTTTCAACCTGACTATGTACTTTCCCTCAGGTACTTGCCGATACCAATTACCGATACTTTTTCTTACGGGGACATGTGAGATTTTTTAGAAAACACCACAGACTGATGATTTTAGTAATTGCATCACATCAGCAATACTTTGTATAACTTCAAGTTTAATTGGGGGAAGTTGGACAAATTGGAAGAAGCAGGGGAGAATTGTGACCATTTCTGCAGTGTACTGGAGGTGGGTACTGTGGATCATTTACCTACGTTAAATAGTACCATAGTACACACATCCGGTACACTGCAGAAATAGTTACAATTCTCCCCTGCTAACTTGAATAGGTTACAATCTAACCTATTCAAGTTAGCAGGGGAGAATTGTAACTCTATTTCTGCAGTGTACTGGAAGTGTGTACTGTGTACTATGGATCATTTAACCGTTAAATGATCCATAGTACACAGTTCCAGTACACTGCAGAAATAGTTACAATTCTCCCCTGCTTCTTCCAATCTGTCCCACTTCCCCCAATTAAAATGGCTGGTGACCCTACCTGCAGCTTTCACCACACAGTGTGATGAGAATATGCCCCCAGCACAGGCCCCGTCTCATCTAACACCCGCAGCCAGTCTTGTCACAGCTGGAGTCCGTTTCCTGGTCTCTCACCTGGCCCTTAGGTAGTCGGCGTTGTGCCTGGTGTCTCTGGCAGGCTTGTCGGAGGCGGTTCTGTGAGGTTCCCGTTTGACTGCCCAGAGGTTCCCAACAAGCGCGGTACCTCTGGGCAGTCTGAAGTTATCTAAAAAATAAAAGCACCGGTATCGGCGCTGTGTATCAGGGCATTTTCACAAGTAATTGTGAAAATACCCTGTCTGTATTGGTATCGGGACATCATTACTATAGTGTGTAATCTCTATGTATCAATCTCAAGTAAAGACATTCAAGTACCTTTTACATATTAACTAAAATGATCTTATTTGTGTATCACTAGGCTGTAGAGCCTCAAATCATCTCTGAATTCATGCTGAAACTGTTCTTCCTTCTGGATAGTGATTCCCCATGGTCCCTGTGTGTGTTGTAAAGTACCGCTACTCCAAGCTCACTCCCATGATGGTCTACAATCTTAGGTTTAGTTTACTCGTTTGCATTGAGATTGTAGTGCATGAGGGGAGCAGTCTTGGAGTGTTGTCTACTTTACAACACACAGGGACCATCATGAGTGCAGCATCTCAGTGATAGCTGTCCTCCTGGTCTTTTCACATGCTACAGTTTTTAAAGTTTATTGAAACTGATGCAAATCACATATGGTTAGCAGCAGTTCTATGGATGAAAACACATGGTTAAAGAGTAACTCCATTCTGGAAGCTGTGCTAAAAAAGGAGGCAGAGGGCAAAGGTCCACCCACCAGTGTTTCATGTGGTTTCCCTATTACTGACTTACCATTCTGTGTCTCTGCATGGAGGTGGTAGAGGCAGGGGTTTTCTTCCTCATGTCAGAGCCTTCAGAACAAGAACAACAGTGAGCAGCACAAGAGTAAATAAATCACTAAATCTCCCTCCAAATCTCATAGGACGAGGAGTCAGAGGCAGCAAAGTCTTAGAACTCCCACTGATGATACACAGCTATAAGGCTGTAGGCATATGGTGCCTAGGCACCCTCACATACCAGTAAGTGCACTGCCCAATTTTTGTAGGTACAAACAGGGTACTGCTTAGGAACAAGTGACACTTCTGTATTTTCCCTTTGACATAGCAAATCTTCACTTATTTTGAGTACATACACACTGTGCATAATTTTAATGATAGAGAGTTCCTAAATATTTGTTGCCAGCCATGTGCACATAAACAGTGAGCCTGTACTCTGTGTTAAACTGAAAAAGTTAAAGTCTTGACAAAGAGCAGACAACACTATTTACCTACCATTATCCTCATTAGTCATAAAATTGTGTGGGCCTCTCTCTGATTTAGTTTGGGGTTTTTTAATGCTACTTTTCCTGCCGACTACTATTTGCCTGTCCAATGGGACTATCTCAGTGGCCAGTAAGGGAAAGGGAGAATTGGCTGTTGGTGGAGCTTAGCCATGAAATCAGGGAAAGTCTGGCCCTAGTAACAATCAGAGAGGGGTACACTAGAGGCTTCGTTGGCTAATAAAGGTAATAGTAGTACCTCCTATTGAGCAGAACTTGTTTAAAATGGAATACAGATTATTATTCTGGATTTATATAGTGCCAACAGCTTGTGCAGCACTATACAATATAAGGAAGACATTACAGTTTCAAAACAAGATGTTTAGGAGGGCCCTGACCATGAGAGCTTGAAGTTTGATTTAGGTTTATTGACCATGCAAGTAAAGAAGAGTTCTGCAATGAATGTAGAGGCAAGATGAACATACACAAGATCCACTAGTTTTGATCTTTCCCTAGTTCTACCCTGCCTGAATGTGTTATTTTGCAAGTTTGTAATATTCCTTTAACCCCTTCGTGACGGGAGACGTACACTGTACGTCCAGCCACAAAGGGACCAAATGACTTGTCACGTACACTGTACGTGACGAGTTATTTGCTGCTTTAGAGGGCTGTTAATCGCTGAGAATCAGCTTTTAACATTCATTAATGTATGCCCTTACTACAGAGGCATTCATTAATGAAAGGGTTAACCTTTTTCAGACACCCGATACCTTAATATCGGGTGTCTGAGAGTCAAAGCAAAGCGGACACAGATGCCGGCTTTTGCCGGCATTCTGACAGCTCGTATAGATCGAGAGATATCTCTCTCAAGCTATACTGGCTTTTTTTTTTTCTTTCATGAATAGATACAAAATGTGTCTATTCCTACAATGTATCTATTCCTGGAAGAAGAATGTTTGTTTGCTGATCGTTGTTGCAACAATCAGAAAACATTTAGTAACAGCTGAATCCTGAACTGCTGCAGGATCAGTGTCACTAACTTATTATCGGCTGTTCTGAAGTTTGAAGCAGCCTGATAATAACCAAAAATTTATTAATTTATCATGCAGTAACAGTGAGATTAATTCACAAAATCTGCTTGATATAATTAAATAAATAAAATAACATTTTTAAGTTAAAAAAAAAAGTGAAAAGTGTAAAAAAAATAAAAAAATGTGTAAAAAATAAAATAAAATAAGGGACAAATAAATGAATGTATTTATTGCATTTTTTTAGCTGTGCTGGTTTTGTAAAAAAAATACTACAAATCAAAACTGGGAAAAAAGTGTTTTTTTTAAACGGTTTTTTCCTCTTTTTTTATATTTTATTTGTCCTAAGTGAGGCGTTAGACGCACATATGTGATATAAATATGTAGCCCTATCTGTCCTCTAAAAAACAATATATAATATGTGTGGGTGCACTTTGTAAGAAAGTATATTACTGACGTGGAAGAATCACACAGCAAAAATGTCAAAAGTGTGTCAGTCATTTACGAACAGAAACTAAAAACAAGCTCAGTCATGAAGGGGTTAAACGATGTGCTTTTTCTGCTTAAGGAAATGGAGAGACACGTTGACAGAATATGTTCTATGGGAGACGTTATGAGAAAAGCCATCCAGATTGATGAGGATCAGGCGTACAGTATTCAAGAAAGACTTGCCCAACTAGAGGTAAGAATGTTTTTTTTTCTTTCTAAAATGTAAAATATGCAGTACATCGCTGCAATACATGCACATTTCCCTATATGTTATCACTTTAGAGCAGCCTTTCTCAACCAGGGTGCCATGGCACCCTGGTACGCCTTCTGGCTTCCTCAGGTGTTTATTAAAATGTTGTGGTAATAGGACTGTGATGTGAACGAGAGAATGATGACTGATGTGAAAGGGGGATCCTGATGTAAAGGGCAACTCTGATGTGAAGAGAGGAGCTACTGATGCATAGTGTGACTCTGATGTAAAGGGGGCACTGCAATGTGAGGGGTAAACACACTTTTTTGTGTAATTTTTTTGCAAGGGGTCCCCTTTAAAATCCATTACATTTTAAACTGGGGTGCACTGGAGGAACGGAGAGGGGCAGGGCGAGTCCATGCAGGGAGCGGTGACTGGCGGTCACCGCTCTCTGCTGGGAGAAGATCTGGAACTGAGCGGTATGTGATTGCCCAATTCTCCATCAATAGAGCCGACGTGCGACAGCTGCAGTGTCACACGTGGGCTCTAATTATGGGGATGACTGTTTTTCACTCTCCCCAAAATTCTCCTTTGGCATTCAGAAAATATATAATGTTGGGGGGTTTTACGTCATTTTCAGGCCTAAAATGTGGAATATAACATGGGTGCAAAAATTGAAAAAAGGGCCTCAGTCATGAAGGGGTTAAAAAACAAAAATTCGAGTTAAGTCTTAAAAATGCATTCAAGTACCTTAACTATTAACAAAAATGCAACTTATTTGTGTATCACACGGCTGTAGATCATCAAATCATTTATAAATTGGTGCTGACACTTTCCTTCCTTTTGGAGGGTGGCTACTTTTGTTCCCCATGGTCCCTGTGTGTGTTGTAAAGTAGCCACCGCTCCAAGCTCACTACCATGATGGTCTACAATCTCACATTTAGATTACTAATTTGTATTGAGATTGTAGTACATCACAGGAGTGAGCTTGAAGCAGTGGCTACTTTACCATGGGGAACAAAAGTAGCCACCCTCCAGAAGGAAGGACAGTGTCAGCATGAATTCAGAGATGATTTGAGGATCTACAGCTGAGTGATGCCCACATAACCTACATTTTTGTTAATAGGTTAAGGTACGTTAATGCATTTTTAAGGTTTAGCTCCTGAGTTTAGTGTCTCCAAGTCCTGTTGTGGGCTGACAATACACAGCATTTTGTGACTTAGTGGTGTCAGCCCTCCCAGTGCCTTTTTGTCAAACTCCTTAACTAATGCTACCCTAGAATTTCTACAACATAAAGGTTAATCATTCTGTAGTCCATGATGAGAACTGGGAGGGCTATCTAGCCTTTGTGAGATAACACAGGAAGTATGTAGAGGACACAGGACAGCTCTGAATTTCTGACAAGATCAACAGGTTTTTCTTTTTTGCACTTTCTAAACAGATATACCAAAATGCTTCTAATGGTATATTTAAGAGCACACAAGGGAGCAAATAAGACAAGTTCATTGTTAGAGTTTACATACACTTTAAAGAAAAAGAGACATGGGGACAAAATGATTGTTTGAACATTTAGTATAGAAGGCTGGTGACTGTACAGTTTTTCTGTTTTGGGGAGGGCAGGAAGAACTTTATTGCCTGTATTGCACTAGAAGAAACAGCTGTTGATAATGGAACCAGCTGTTTTGCTAACAAACCTCCTTTCTTAGCTTTAGCAGCTGCATCAGATGTTGGCTAGTGTTAGAGACCATTGATGACAACAATCTCCACTAATCAGCAATTAGCTTAGTGTATTCTGTAGTTATTGAGCACCAAAGACTTCCTCTATCCAGCATCAAGGCTGACTACATCTATCTGAAATGTTTCTTGAAGTAGGTGCATCCATTGAAAACTATGCAGAGATCAGGCCACCTCCTACAGATTACCAATTCTTTCTTAAAGGAAAACTATGAGGTGAGTGACTTCCACTCATCCTCATAGTTAGAGCCGACCTGTGACAAAGAAGCTTTCACAGGTTGTGCTCTATCGACCGTGAAGTGAGCAGAAACATGCACCGATCCGCTCACTTCCCGATCGTCTCCTTGCAGTGATTGGTGACTGTCAGTCACCACTCCCCGCAGGGATTCCCCCCCTCCTCTCCCGATCCTCAAGCGCTGAGTGGAGGAACGAACGGGGGAAGGGGTGGACACAGCTCGCTCTGCCTCTAGATAGGCAGAGCCAGCTGTCACTCACGCAGCTGGGTGGATCAACAGTATTGTCGGGATCTGTCCCGTCTGCTGCACACTCAGTATATCGTGGGCAAGAGCCCGCGATATACTGAGCTTTGGGTCAAGGTAGGAGGTTAGTATATGTCCTCCCATGACTCTAAAGGGAACTATGGGGAAAAATGCTTAGCCCATAGTTCTCTTATAAAGCAAACTCCTATCATAACTGTATAACATGCATAGTGCTTAGGTGTCGCATCTTACCTTTATGGTGCCTTGGTTTTTTTTTCACTTTACTGTTAGGGACTTATGAGGGAGTCCAAACAGATCCCTGATATTTCCCTTTTGAAATAGAAAAAGAGATTGAGGACAAAGAGTCCTAAATCTTTTTCTGTAGCCTCTGTTATGAATGAACAGGAAACCTCTATACTCCTGTCCATTCATGAACTGAGGAGATTGTAAAAACTTCTATGTCGACAATCATGAATGAACAGGAAGTGATGTAGGGCACTTCCTATTCATTCATAACTGGGGACACAGTAAATAAATACTATGTCCTTAATTATTTGAAAACATCACACCAATATTTGAGCAGTACATGGAAAGATCAGCAAATATTTCACATATCTTCCCCGCTCACCTTCCTGAAATATTACACCCTTGCTGACAGCTTCCCTTCTCCCCGCTGGGCGCCGGCTGGATTGTCTGTGTCCCTCCCGATCCCCGCTGCCTCTGCCGACACAGGCGGGGGATAAGAGGGGACAGAGACCAAAGCTTGCAACCAGCACCCAGCAGGGAGGAGAGAAGCTGGACACGCACTGCATTTTCTGCTATTTTGCCCATAGTACCACTTTCAGCTGAAATGTTGGTGCATCCCTAATTCGAACCCCTGCCAGGGTTTTACTGCTGTCTGGGGATCTGTTAGAGATTTTTGTTTTTTTAAAAAGGGGAATGCTAGAACCTCTGTCCGCTTTTTTTTTTTATTGTCTGATTTCCTTTTGACAGATCTCCCCTCACATCCTAATTGTCCCCAAAACAGGGAGCATAGGGAAATATCTCTGATGGTGCTCTATATAGCAGTAAAACCTGGCAGGAGATTTAACCTTTTCCACTCTATCCAAAACTAAGAAAAAAAAGTTTTTGGCTATCGGAACACTTTATCCTTTCTGTAACCCAGGGGTCATTCAGAAGCGCCCAAGCTTATCTAGGGGACGAAATAAGGAAGATATACTGGCCCGATCCTTTATTATGCAGAAGAGACCACTCCTCTTCCTCTGTTCCGACCGTGTAATGTCCTTTGGTGTCCTCACTTCTAGTAGACTGTATAAGATGGGATGACTTGCAGGTCATTAGTCCGCCGGATGGGAGGGGGAGAGAGGCTGAGCGGACCGGTCTGCTAGCCAGGCGGGACTGAGGATCTGATGAGTATATATATTTTTTTATTTTAGACCTTAGACCAAAACTAGCAGTTAGCCCTTGCAGTGCCGGGGTAGCCCCACTGCGAGGCTCACTTTTAATTCTGCCTGGAGTTGTTCTTTAATGCAAAATTGTAATCTGATAATTAGTATTACTCGTATAGCACTGCAGTTGGGCACTGCTGCCTGTAGGTGGCATTGTTCATCAGAAAGTTTAGAGGTAGCCATACACTATGCGAATTTCGGCTGTTTCTTGATGAACTGGGCGAAATTCGCACCCTTTGGCCGGCATGCCTTGATCAGGTGATTGAAGGAGTCGGTCTGGAAATTTTCAAACAAACAGAGCCAGCAGCCAATGAGCTGCCAACTCTGTTCAGGTAATGTAGGCAGCGGGAGATTCCTCGATCAATGGTTGTAAGCGTCGATGGAGGATTCTGTTCTGTTTTTTGTTTTTTTTCCGTTCAGCTTGCGGGTTGAACGAAAAAAATAGTACAGTGTATGGCCAGCTTAAGACTAATTATACAAACTGGCCTGTAATCACTATGTCATGTTGATTTCACAATGTGGTTAAAGGTGCGTAGTGTAGGTTGCTGTCATGAGCATTGCTCTGCCATTTTCATCCAAGTGGACTTTTTTTCTTCATACTGCTATGCCATCTCTTCCGTCAACTTTCTTCATGATAGCTGCAAGGCAAACAGAACAGTCACACCACCTGACCTCACCAGTATTATTACGCTGTGAAAGAGAACAAGTTAAACTAGACATGCACTGTCCAGAAAGGGCTGGTTGTGATTTAGCAGTTGGAATTTTTCTTTTTTTTAATTACAGTTTTACCGCACTGACAATTTACACAGTGCTTTGCATACTGCACATTCATATAAGTCCCTACCCGCAAAGAGCTTACAATCTAAGGTCCCTATGTCGCATGCATACATACACGGCCAATTTAGACAAGAGCCAAATGAACCTACCAGCATGTCTTTGGATCATGGGAGGAAACGGGAGAACCCAGAGGAAATCCACCCATGCACAGGGAGAACATGAAATGAACAAGAATGGTAGAAATTAAATATAAATGATGAATTGTAATCATCTTTTAGCCATTTAATCATAACTGGCGTGATGATCTTTTTGAATTGACTTTTATCAACTAAATACCTCTAAAATCAATACATTTGTGCTGATAACTCACCAATTTGGACTTTTCACTTTCAATCAACCAGGACAAAGTACAAAGAGAGAGTGAACCACCCTAGCGGGTACAGCAATAAACTCATTACCTTCGCCAGACTATCCAAAACAAGAACAAACTACAAAAATTTAGTTTTCGATGCACTTGAATCGCCTTTCAGTGAATTGAAAATTTCTGACCTTACAAAGAAAAAAACTTGCATTTTCGAAATTCATCTGTGTATAGAAGGATTTCCTTGCATTCATTTTGCTAAGTGAATTCTACTTGCTAAACTAAAATCATATTTTTATTGTTTCAAATAGATTGTATAATGGTTTTTCCTTTATTTTCCATTTTAGCTGGAAAACAAGGAACTTCAGGAAATTTTATCTGTCAGCAAGGAGTCGTTGCATTCAGGAAAAAAGGATTCCGACTGGAACTCATTAGAGAAAACTCAGTGATACCCTTCAGACCAAATCCTATAATACATTCACTGGACACACAACAGTAATGGGAATCATTTCCTTTCTTCTCTATACCACAACCTGCACTGTCCTGTGTACTGCACTGCTGTGAAAAGTGAATATTTTCTGCTGTGTAGAAGTGTGATGATGTGAGCGGAAGTTCGCTGGCTTCAGTCTATGTAAGTCTCTGTTTCACATTTGCAGTGCTGCAGGAGAAAAGGTCCACAACTTGCTCAGAAATCACTTGGACTTTTGCTTTCAGTTTTGTCGTACAGAAATTTATAAAATGTAGATGTTTTATTTAAATAAGTTTAAAAAAATAGAACTATAATGTATGAATAAAAATCCTCACGTGATCATGTGTAATTTCGTTTCCTGTTCACAACCTGGAAACTTTGTGTTCTTGTATTCTAGCTATCTGTAGTCTGCAATATGACATCCTGTAAAGATTGTGACCACGTACTCATGCCTGTCCACACAATTTACATATAGTACGCATTATTATAGCACATCTTTTCAGCACACATTGAGGACAGGCAAGTCAACATAAAACTGCCAGTTGGTTTTCCACACTTTTTTTTGTTATTTTGAAAATATTAAAGGAGAACTATGGAGTTATGGCTTTCCCCATAGTTCTCAGGGTAATGGGAGGACACAAACTAGCGTCCTCCCGTCACCCTAGGCTCAGTATACCGCGAGCTGTAGCTCGCGGTATACTAAGACGCCACAGCTGAAACGGATCCCAACAATTATGTCTGGATCCGCCCAGCTGCGTGACTGACAGCTTGATCTGCCTATGTAGAGGCAGAGCCAGCTGTACCCGCCCCCTCCCCCGTCCGTTCCGTCAGTCAGCGCTGGCCGTGACAGGATCGAGAGGTGAGCGAACGCCGGTATGTGTTCGCTCACCTCCCGATCTACTGTGCCGACCTGTGACAGTTTCATTGTCACAGGTCGGCTAGAACTATGAGGTGAGTGAAAAGCACTCCCCTCATAGTTCTCCTTTTAATCAAAGTCTTCCCCCTCTTCAGCTACAGTACAGCACATCAAGTGCAACAGAGTTTCCACCCTCCTAGCTAACCCGTTATAAATGTTTATTGGCTCTGTTTGCCTCAACAGGACACACAAAACATTGAGAACCCACCTGTATTTTAAAATGTATAAACCCAAGAACAAATATGTAATATAGATCACCTTACTAGTCATTAGTAGTGGTGGATACATTTGTTTTCTTATTTTCAGATTATTTTTTTTAATTTATTTTCACCTGGTAATCCTGCCAGTAACACACTTTATGTCTTCTCTAGCTCTGCAGTGGGAGGCTGAGATCTCCCATGTGTCCACAAGTCCCTTAATATACACGTTTGCTTTTTTGTGCACGATTAAAGGCGCAAACTGCTTGCAGAGGCACTAAACTCAGTGCAATCACCCACAGAATCTATTTTCTGACTATAGGTACTGGATTTTTGGCAGGTGCCGACAGTGTCGTTCGAACCAAGTAGTCCCACTAACTATTTAGGGTGGGATTTTAACCCATTCCCCCAGCCTGGGAAGATTCTCCTAATGGATGTATCCGCTTGCCTATTCCTTGAGTCAGGTTGTATGAAATGGACAGTTTCCCAAGTCAAAAGGGGTTCCTTCAGTTAGTCAATCTTTGAGTCCGACTTCTGCTGGACATCATCGGGAGCATGCAAGATCTTCACCTCCGTGAAAAATTTGAGAGCTACCCTTGTTACTGACAGTGTGACCTATTTTCTATGCTGGACAGTGTTCGGTATGTCACTTGTGACCCCACTATTTTTCTTTCTGGAGCCAAGGTATTGGCTTCCACATCTGATGTTTCCCACTTTTAAGAGTGAGGGTTCTGCCCCCTTTCATATTGTCCAACCTGCCTGTGTCTCCACTAAGGCTAGCAGACCTCCGTGCTGCTCTTGCAGATATTTTAAAACAAGGAGTCTTTGCCATGATTCCATCAGCAGAAAGGTTTAAGGGTATTACCGTATTTTTCCGTCTTATAAGACGCCCCTATGTATAAGACGCCCCCAACTTTTCTTACCCAAAATTCCGAAATCAATATTTTAAATGGTATAATGCATCACACTTACCTCAATCACGTTATGCTCCGACAATTACAGCTCCGGGCACTGGCTACACGCTCTCCCGAGCGCCGGCTGACGTCAGGTACAAAAGATTTATGATCGGATTACAGAGATAAGATAACAGTTTTCATCCAATCATAAATCTTTTGTACCTGATATCAGCTGTTGCTGGGGAGAGCGGATTACAGAGCCACTCTCCCCAGCAACAGCTGAGGTCAGGTACAAAAGATTTATGATTGGAGGAAAACTTATCTTGTCTCTGCAATCCGAAGTTTTACTCATGAGGCTACGGTAGTTTGCAGTGGTATCCGCACTTTCGGCAGTTTCGCAATTGCGGTTCTCCTCTCGGCCCCCGTGTATAAGACGCCCCTCTATTTTTAGGTAAACATTTTAATGAAAAAGTAGCGTCTTATACACGGAAAAATACGGTAACTCCATGCTTTTTGCTGTTCCAATACCAAATATGTCATAAATGTCTACATTTGAACTCAGAGTTCCACATGGTATCCACCAAGTCTGTCATAACCTTCCTCCCATCAGGAAGATTTTCTAGCCTCTGGACATTAAGGATGTGTACTTGTATGCCGCCATTTTCCAGCTCATCAGCGCTACTTTTGTCTTGCTGTAGGCAGGCAACGCTCATTAGTTTGTAGCCCTATAATTTTGCCTATTGTCCATACCCGAGTATTCAACAAGGTTCTGGCATCTGTGTTAGCCATACTACGCTCACAAAGTATAACATTGTGTTATACCTAGACCACTTCCTATTACGTTTCAAGACATTTGTACACAGTTTCTCTTATATGGCTCCTCCTGTTTAACTTCCTGGGCCCCCATAAGATCTCAATTTGGTTCTGTTGGTCCGTCAAAGATCGCCTTTTGAACCTATTAGCGTTATTCCCCTTTCCATTCTCACTGACGAGGTTGTTTTTCTTGTGACTTTTACCTCCTGCAAGTCCTATGTCTGAGCTAGCTGCTTTATCATGTAAAGAACCCTACTTGTTTTTTCACAAGGATAAGGTAGTATTGAGAGCCTCCAACTCCCTAGATTCAGCCTTTTACATCAATCAGGAAATTATTTCGTGCTGTACGGGGTTCCCTGGAAGAGTGGTGTCAGTGTGCTTTGTGGGATATCTGGTTACTCAAAACCCAGCAATAAGCTGGAGTGCATTCTCAGGGGATTTTGAGCGCCCAGTTTTCCCAGGAGGCAGTAGTAAGACATGGTGACATTATCTGCATCTCATTTTTTTGGAAATGGATTTATTTTTAAAATTTGTGTTGGCAGGTGATTTGACTTTGGAGAGTAGGGGGCTTTCAATAAAGTGGAACTTCCATTTTCATTGAAGGTTCGCTTTAAATGGTGACAATGTGACAACAGTAAAATATGGTGGGACAATGTGCATCAGCACGGAATCTTAGTTTCCTTTTAGAGAGCATGCGACAGGGTGAATTAGAGGCACGAGCTTGTGTGAGACAGGGACAGCGTTGTCACTCCATAACACAAATCACCATCTGTTTTTTTCATGAAAGCTAGTGAATAAAAATAGGCCTTCCAAGTGATAATAATAAAGCTTATGTGAGATTTTAGTGGATACCAAATTGCTCTTTGATGTCCTGTCCCGTTGTACATTTAATGCACCCTGCTTTTGTGCATAGATCTATATACCCAAAAATAATTTTAATGCCCAATTTCTATCAGCAATAACTGATAGCTAGCTCTTTAATTGTCGACACCCTAGCTCCTTAATTTCTATTAATTAGGGTCTTTTCTTTCAATAAAACTTTTAGCTTAGGATAATTAGAGCACCTCAGATCATTGTTGATTACTGTCTGTTCAAGAACTATCTTCTTTACATTTTTTCTATTTTCCCTCAAAAATCCAGGAATGAAAAAGTTGTTACTGTACACAGTGGGGTGGGTGCTAGTGAGTGCTACTTTGAGTTTCAAGGCTTCACTGTAGGGAAGGGCGGGACCTATTGCCCTAGTATTGTGTGCCTATTTTTTGCTGCTTTCTGCCCTTTCCTTTTTGTCCCTGGAGTAAGTGTCAGGGTACCATGTACAGGCGTCCTCACACCTCATGCAGGTACCCACGCAGGATGACCAAATTAATATGCCCACACAGGATAGGGTTCTATGCACAGTTTATTTGTTACCATCAAACAAAACTACTAACCCCCTCAACCCCCCACAGGTTTAGCAGTGAAGTAACAAGGAGGGTTAACAGGAGGGCAGCACAGTACAGGATTTAGGAAGAATGGTCAGGTACAAGCCAGGTCGTTAACAGGAGGGCAGCACGGTACAGAAACAGGATCCAAGAAGAGTGGTCGGGTAACAAGCCGGGTCGGTGACAGGTCGGCAGCTAGGAAGCTGGGTTCAGGAATCAGTCAAGTGCAGGCGACGCCAATACTGAGCCAGCTTCCTGACTGCAGTTAGGGCCTAAATACCCTCCCAGGAAGCACCAGGTGATGGGATGATCAGTCACAGCTGGGGCACACCCGCAGGTGAGTACTGGAGCTGCAGGTTCCTTACAGTCCCTGGCTGCTGGACACCCGCAGGCGAGCACAGGAACTGCAGGACCCGGCTCCAGCGCCATCTGGGGGTGCTCTGGATCCTGACAGAAAGCCTCACTCGAAATGGCTAATGAGGATCAAGGGGTTGAAATTAATCTCCCACCTAATGTGGCAGCCCCACAAATTCCAGTTGGGTCCCCCTTCCATTATTTTTACTCAGTTTACATTGCCCTCCCTGCCCATATTTGCTTGACCAGAACCTTAAATGAAAAGAAAAAACAATTTATAAAAATTATAAAGAAAAGATCATCTGTAAATAATTTTAACAAAAATGAAAATGCATGAAAAAATTGTACTGGCAGGTAAAAATATGTTATGTGGGATTACTTAGGCCATTAACTGAAGGAAGGGGTGTAATATCTATTAAGGATTTTAATGAATCTCAGCTGCTGAAACACTGTGGTATGATTAGCAATATATCAAATTACATAGAGGAGAAAGGCCAAGTAACATAACACATGGAGAATATTGTTCAACTGATAGTGACATGCGTCACCTTACGCAGGTTTGGTAT